ATTTTTTGTGCAATTGCACAGTAATTGTTAATTTTTGTGCAAAAAACAATACATGCACAACGAATTTTCAACACTGCCCCAACCCAATAATGTTGTATATATGTATTACTTTAGTAAAAAACATTTTATAAAATTAAAATAGTATCTTTATTAAAGCTATAAATATACTGTATATATATATACTATATATACAGTATACTATACAGTATATATATATTAAGTAAAAAATTTAAAAAAAGTTACTATAAAGCCAAAATTTTAAATAAAACTTTAAATTTATATCTAGTAAATAAAGTTATATATAAAGTACTGTATTATACAAACACAGTATATAGCTAGTCATACTTTTACTAAATTTAAAAATACAGTATTAGCTTTGGCCAAACAAATACTGTAAAAAATTTTAATACATGTTTTTTTTTTTTTAAAAAAAAAAAATTTAAAAGTTTTTAAAAAATGTGTAATATTTTTACTTGAGCACTACGCACCAATCAATTAGCTAGCTTTTGAGATACAGTAGGTGTAATACACTATAAATCGTTTTATAGTAAAAGTGGCAACACTAATACAATAATATTTTTAATTTATAGTACATATTTAAATATATATGTTCTGTAAACGAATTCTATATCATTTTTAATCATACCGAAAACAATTTATGCAGTACAATTTGTGCAAGAGTCGCCTAACCACGTGACTTAAGTTAAAATGAATAGTAAGGGAAGTGACATATATGACGTATTATAGGAGAAGGAATACCCGAACTCTAACCTCGTGAACTAAAATTGGCCAATCATGGCGCTCTTTAGGTCTACTCCTAATGACGTAATATATGTTACCCCCCTAATCTAGTCACGTATTATGGATATATGAGGCACGTGATGCTAGACATGTGGATGATTTGACGTGTATTATAGATTAGTACCATGATCGTTGATTCTAGACACGTGGATGGGTCGATCTTCTGAAATTTATATTATAGATATCCCAACGATATAAATGCCAAAACCAGATGTGCAAGCTATGAAAAATAAAGCGACTCGCACAAGAAAAAAAATATGCATACAAAGGTGAAGACGTGAAAGCTAGTTTCCTCATAGCTTTTTCCAAAGATCTCTTAATAAGGACGATATCTAGAGTTATCCCTACGTTCTTGCCGTTCATCCTGTTTACTTTGCCTTCCATATCCTTGATCATAACCATACCCATTATCATTGTTACGATAGCTACCACCTCCGTAACCTCTATCATCATCGCCATATCTACTACCACCATATGAAGGACCTCCACCACGACGACCCCTATACCCACCTCTTGGTGATCCGGAATATCGACTGCCATAACCACCTCCATCTCCAGGTGCACCAGCACGAGGTGTATGGCATTTATAACACTCCATTCTTCTAGCGAAATTATTGGCTTTACAACTGGATTGAAATAAATATAAATTAATTGATATATAATATATACAAAAGATAAAGTAATGATAAAGAACGTAAAACTTCAAACATACGAGTCGCACACCCAATCACCTTCGCGTGGAGGCGGACCTCCACGACCACCTCTACCACCAGAAAATCCGCCGCGTCCTCTACCTCTGCTGCGACCTCTAAAACCTCCTGTGGAAGCGATTTTACGTACTGACATTTCGACTTTTATGACCTTAATCATAGCATATAATTATAAAATTTTAATTAACATCATAAATTTGTAACCATACACATTTGAGTTGAATAATCTGTACCTGGCCAAGGAATGGTTGATTATCAAAATATTTGATTGCTGCAGCGGTTGAGTCCGGGTCTTCATATGTTAAAGTGGCTAATTTTTTCATTGTGTGGAATTTAATCAATTATTATACATGAAAACTATCAAAAAACAACATATATAGGTTCACAATCTTTTACTTACCATCTCCTTTGGGAAGGCCAGATGCTTTGTCGTAATAAATCCATACTAATGGTGGATAAATAGATTGTTTTTAATATCAATTTAAATTTGACAAACATTATAAAAATTTCATATGTATACTTTTTGGCTTTTGTGTCTTCTTATCAATTTTTAACATTCCAAGACCACCGAAGTAATCTGCCAATTTCTCTTCAGTGACATCCTTGCTTAAATTTGAAATATAAACAGTATCGGTGCTCGTTTGAACTGCTGAACCGTCTATAAAATTGTCTTTATTAATAGACTATATTATGAAGTAAAGCTATAAATGGGATTTTTGCTTGAAATAACTTTACGAGACAATAATTATAATGTCACATAAAGTCGTTTTCAAGGTGAAGATCCCAATGACACCTAGTTACTATATGCACCTTTAGGACGGTTCCCATAATTATCATATCCAGCGCCATCTTTGGACGGTGGACCATAACCACCTTCTCGACTATTTTCACGAGACTTGTAGTTACCACCATAGCCATCATATGGATTTTTATTGCCGCTATAGCCAGGGCCATCTCCATAATCGTTATCACGATCTGCATAGCCTGTTTTATTTGTTCCATTGTATTGTTGAGTTGTAGAACCGCCTGATGAGCCTGGGCCTGCTTGATAGTTTCCTGGAGTTGCTGGCGTAGAATAATTTCCGTAATTATAACCAGAGGAATACCCATTTACTTCATAACCATCTCGAGAAGAATACCCTTGCGATGATGCCGACGGAGGCGCCGCTGGTTGAGAATTTGTACCATTGCTATCGTTCCCATTACCTCCAGCTGGGGTATTATTATTCCCATAATAATATTCTGATGTATTTGTTGATGCTGTATATCCACTTTGACTATAGGCATCGTTATCTATAATTTTTTTTTATTGAAGAGCAGTTGGCATTATATGACATATAGTAACGATAAAATCAATTCAAACGCTTTTACATCTATCCTGATGATAGAGATCGCTGTATACTTTTTGAAGTTATTATGATCGTTGGCACATGCATCACAATTCAAGCTTGTGCCAAGTCTCTGTACTTGAACAGAATTGTTAATAAGTATTTGGGTACTTATTCTCAATCATTTATTTCTTTTAACCCAATTTTATCAATTTCCGAAAAGTATACATGCATTCTTCTTACTAATAAACCTACATGACTGATAATTGTAGCCCGTAGATGAAGGATCCTGTTGACCCCCGTAATTTGAATATTGATCCATTCTCGCTTTACACTGTTAACACTGTCGAGTATTCAAAAAGTTGGTTTGTTTGATAAGCCTACTTTGGGCCTAGCCTCTTGACGATCAAGCTAGTTTTCAAGCCTGATTTGTTATGTTTGATGCATGCATTTATCACTCTAAATGTTATTGGTTCTTGATCTTCAATTATGATAAATTATTGATACTATACATGTGACAAAATAATTTACTAAAAGGGAAAATTGCATAATTAACAATTGTGATTATTAAGATTCTTCAACTTTCAATATTCGAACCAGAACTAAAACAACCTAATAAAAAAGGGGGTTTACTTACATTTCATAACTCACTATCAGCTATAGAAATGCAAATCGGCTTAGTGTTGGGGGTTTGAGTAAATTTGTACATATAAAATTTTGCATGTCTAGTTGTTCAATAAGTAATTCAACCGTAAATGCTGCTCCTACTATATATCGGCCTTATTGATTATTATTATAAATATACAAGCCAGTAGAGCCATTTCGCATCTTTTTTTATTAATAAAACTTGGGTATTGTTTTTTTTTATATTTTTATTTTTCTTTAATAACCGCGTACTAACTTTATTAAATTTAATGCTTAATTCAAAATTTAGTTATTTAATAAAAATATTGGACTACCACCCGACTTTCTCCAAGGACGCCCAAGTGTGGTTATCACACTGGTGATCAGTGTTGGCATTGGACATATGTCCAATAATTTAAAGATATATTGGACATATAAAATTTTATATGTCCAATCGTTTTCAAAATCATTGGACATATGTCCAATGCCAACTCTGCTGGTGATTGCCACTATGTCCCGTATGTGAGCGCGGCACACTTGAGAACATAGTATAGCTAGGACTTCTTCCTTAACATATCTTTATTGTTTAGTATTTTGTCCACCAACTAGATAAGAAGGACTTCAGATTTGCAGTATTACTTGCCAAGTTTTTTGCTTTGAGATCTTTAGAATTTTTAGTTTCTAGTTGTATCTTTTTTTTCTTTTTTGGCAATCGAACCTGTTTATCTTCGCTTTAGTTATATTTGAACAAAAAAGGTTTTGAGTTTTTTTCTTCTATAAAATTTTTATTTTTTTGTTTTTTTTTGTATTGATATTATTTTGCTTTGATAAACTTTTTATATCTTTTTTACTAGATAATTTTTAAAAAAAACTTCTTAAAAGCAGTATGTAATTATATCAAGAACTTTACAAATCCCAGATTTATTAACAAGTATATTTGCTAAGCTAGAAAGTTTTTTATTTAAAGAAACTCAAAGTTTTTTAGCCTTTAATCTATATATAATATTTTAGTAAAAAAAATTTTTTTTTAAAATTTATATAGATAGCAGTATAGAGTATAGTGATTGGCTACAATTAATAGATGGTCAATTGATCTGTACAACCTCCTGAATTACTTTAGCGAACCTCCAAATAAAAGGAACTGTTAAAGCCAATGTAATAATCAGTCTAATTATTTAAAAACTAAAATGCTCATAATACTAATGATGTTCAATTAAATTCAAGATTAATAATCTTATTGTTACAAAGTAGGTTGTAACACAGAGTAATACTAGTATAGCATAGTATAAAAAATATTCTATTTTATTATATTATTATTATCATAGTATTATAGTTATTAATAGTTATTATTATTATATTATATTATTAGTATTAGATTATTAGTTATAGTTAATTATATTTAGAATAGAGAAGATTCTATTGGGTAATAGAATAGAGCACAGTAATACTGCGGCTAAGTAAAATAGTATGCTATACAAAAGTGTCTCTAAGTACCTCTATACAAAGTGCCTCCAAGTGCCTTTATACAAAGTGTCTCTACACAAAGTGCTTCCAAGTACTAGAGGTCCAATCCGGATAAATCCGTCATCCGTTTATCCGTATCTGAATTACCCGGATAATTAGGATCAGATAAACAGACCTGATATCCGGATAATCCAAATGATATTCAGATAATTATTCAGATATCAATAGTAAACAGATATCTGCTAACCGTTATCCGAGTATCCAAACCGAACTTTATCCGGATATCCGATAATTATTCGGATAAATGCTATCCAGATTGGAACTCTACCAAGTACCTCTACACAAAGTACCTTTATACAAAGTACTTTTAAGTGCCTCTGCACAAGTGCCTTTAAGTACCTCTATACAGTTAAGCAATTATACTATTACACTTCTATCTATTGAAAAGTTATAAAAAGAGAACCTCTTACCCCTTTTGCCAAGTTAGAGTTTGATTACTCTTATAAAGAGTTTAACTACTCTTATGTAGAGTTTCCTACTCTTTTATAGAATCTAGTTTTACCCCTTTACCCCTTTCTATTTGTAAAGTGTAATATTCTCTTTCTAAGGTAATTTCTATAGGCAAGTTTATTACTATGAATCTGTTATTAATAAATATTATTATTTATACACTATTATTATCTTGAACTGTTTGCCTCCTGCTATAAAGTTAAAGTATATATTTCACATCTATCTTATATATATCCATAAAGTATATCACTGCACTAAGTAACTTTATTACTTTGCTATATTTATACTAAGAAGGCTATAGCATTATAATATTACTAATATATTATATAAAGTATATTGGTAAAATTTAAAATTTAAATAACTACTTCTTGACAAAAATGCTACTAAAAAAAAGACTTTCTGCAAAAAAAAAAAAGCCTATAGAAAAACATCAAAGCAAATTTTTTTTTAATAACAACTATATAGTAATATATAAATATTTTTTTAAAAAAATAAATTTTTTATATATAAACTTCTATATAAAAAAATAGATTAAGGGTGTGGCGGCCTAGTGAAGTGGTCTAGTCATCACCCCACCAAGCGGCAGATCTAGAGTTCGAATCCCACAGATGACGTTTTTTGAAAAATAGATTTGCATTAGGTAATGATTATCCATCGATCAGTTGGATCTAGAAATCTGTAATCTTGGTTGCACCATC